CGGGCCCCTGACAGATACAGGGACCCCAAACAGTGTACATCGCTGGCCCTGGCTTTTTAGGCGATTGGGAAGTGGGCTTTCCGGCCGATACCGACACAGAGCTGACTGTGAGGTACTGATGGTGCCTGGCCGACATATAGACCCATATCGACTCAGGGGTCCTCGATCGGCGCATAGACCCCTCTGATTGCTTTTTTAGGGCCTTTCGCAGCGGGATGGAGCCCCTGAATAAAAACTGGCCAACCTTTCGTGCGATTACGTCCTCCAATTGGGCCCTTCATGGTCGGTCCCGGTGGACCCTCCAGGCTGTTCGGGCCTCCTTGAACACTGCCTCTGGGCGACTCTCCCATAGGCAGGCAGGGCCCCTTTCCAACATAGGGCCACCTTTTGGTGCTGTGGGGCCCTGGCAGACACAGAGCCCCGACCAATGTAAATCGCTGGTTCCTGCTTTGTCCCGGCTTGAGGACTGGGCCCTCAGACCTACGCCGACGCGAAGCCAACTTAACGTCATTGGTGGTGTCTGACCGACGTATGGATCCTTATCGACTCATGGGGCCCCTGGTCGATGCTCAGGGCACGCTGGATGGCATTGAAGCGCCCGGCTCTGCGGACCCTGCCTCTGAATACGACCTCTGGTCAGCCATTCGTACCCTAAATCTTACATTCCGAGGAGAGCGAAGAGCTCCTCGAAATCTAAGAGGGGCATGTCCCCCTGTGCTTCCCACTGCCTACGCTACTGTAAGTCCCAATCAAGTGACCTCTCCGTGTTGAGCCTCAGCACGCACTGCCGGGCGCAACCTGGCCATCAGCCGTGGCCGGCTGCAAACCGCCCGCGGCGCGTTGCCGGCACAGCATCACCGGCCACGCAGGGGCACGAGCATCCGGAACACACCACAGCACGGTCAATGTGTGCAGCGCAGGTGCGCTACATTGCCTCTCACAAAACATGTGTTATGAATGGTGCGCCGCATCATTGGTGGCAGAGGTTATTTTGAGCAAATTGTCAGACTCTTGATGCACTGGTCAATGATAATGACAACGCCTCGTCTGTCTGGGAAGGCCCCGCCGCCAGCCGCGAGGGAAAGCGTCTCCCACGTGGCGGGAAGACGACCAAGTCGCGAAAGTGGTCCGGATCAGGCATCAGGACTGCGGACGTGTTAGGGTTGTGACAAACGGGAACATTTTATAGGAGATTGCAGGGCTAATGAAAGAAACGTGGTAGGCAAGACCACGTGGAGACGAAGTGCAAGGGATGGAAGGATGCCGGAGAAAATGGGACAAACTCTGTGAAGAGAGTCAATGACATCAAAGACTTAAAAACAAATACCCAAATCAATGGAAAGGAAGTTGAAGCCGTCCTGGATACTGGATGTCAGAACAATCTCACGAGGCCGGATGGCCAGATGGCGCTGAATATAGCTGCGAAGCCCACATCTACCTCTAGTAGGACAGGTGGAGATAAGACGCGCGACATCGAAGTCGAGTTCCAAGAGCTCTCTAGCATGGAAAATATCAAAACAAAAAACACGGCTACTTCAAGTTATATTGGCCATACAAAAAACAACAAAACAAAACAAAACAAAACAAAAACACGGCTTTATCAAAGGCGTAACACACCGGATTGAAGCGAGCGGTCGTCCGGTCGCAAGGAAGCCCTATCAAGTGCCGCTGCACTATCAGGAGGCTCTAGGAAAAGATCCCTGTGAAAAGGACATAATTCAGAAATGCAACCCGAGCTATGGGAATCCAATGGTGGTCGTGAAGACGCCTGATGGGACCCTGCGACTATGTGCAAACTACATCACGCTGAATAACCAGACGGAGAAATATCCATACTCAGTGTCGTCCCCAAGTAACATCATGGTAAAGATCCGTGTTGGAAGATTTTTCACGAGGCCAGATCTTTGGCTGGCTTACTAGCAGACCAAACTGGACCCTGAGACACGTTACAAGACGGCATTTATAACTGTCGATATCTCCTCCACTATATGGTTCGGCCGATTGGCATGACAAACTCATGGGCAGTGTTTCAGCGGGTGCTGGCCGAAATTTTGCCTGGCCTGAGCTGCGCGCCGGCCTACGCTGAGGGCGTCTGCGCGAGCACTCCAGAGGATGATTTGGAAGTCAACCCGCGGCAGTTTGGAGGGGTGTTCCAGCACCTTCAAGATGCGGGAGCTCGTCTGCATTTTGAGAAGTGCGAGACTGTCACGAAGGCGATCAAGTGTATGTGACATCAGGTGAGCCATGGATAGGTGTCCGCGCTGATCGACAAAGTGGAAGATATCGCGACGTGGTCTACGCCGACAGCGACGTTCGAGATCCGTCAGGCTCTGGGGCCGACAAGCTTCTAGCGGCTGCTCGTGCCGCGACTTGCCGAATTCCCGGCACCGCTCACCGATCTGTAAAAGAAAGACGTGCCGTTCACGTGGAGAACACGACAAGACCAAGCATTCCAACGGCTCAAGAAAGCTTTGTCAAGTTCACCAGTCCTCGCTGAAGCCAATTCAGCCCAGTCATTCGTGGTGACAGCCGATGCCGCCGATACCAGATGTGGAGTGGCCCTGGAAAATGACTTAAAGCCAGCCGCGAGCACTTCAAAGATGCAAACGTCAAAGAAGAGCGTGACTAGGAAGGAGTTGGCCGCCGTGGTCTTTGGAATCAAGGCATTCATGTTCCTCTTGAAAGGAACACCCTTCCTCGGTGTAACTGACCACTAGTCGCTCCGGAATCTCCTAAAGAAACGCTGTGGAACAGCTGGATTGTATGGGACACTACGGTTTCGACATCATGCATGGACGAGGTCAGGAGACCATGCATGCGATAGCGCTGTCTGGAAGGTCGTTGTGACAACTGACTTTCAAAGCCGACACTCTGAAGTCAGCAACCGATGCGGACGATGCGGACTGTGCGCCCTGAGAGAAGGGTTGTGGCAGAGCATGCTGAGTCAAGCCTCAAGTGCGGAGATGCAGTTTTATGCGCCTGAAAATTCCAAACATCATGTGATCGACGGATTTGTGCTGAGAACGTTTCATCACGGTGTTGACGCTCGGATCTAATTCCAAAGAGTCTGCGAAAGAAGTGTTCTGGGGATGTGTCATGACCATCCAACGCCCGGTTACCTTGGAGTAAGCAGGACGCTGGCTCGACTGACCAAGAACCACTACTGGTACGACGTCAATAGGGATGGAGCCAAAACTGCCTGTCATTCGTCCGGAACAAGATCGAGCGTCAGCACCGCGGCAGCATCGCGAGGGACTGGGCACTGTGCCAGTGATCGGGAGTCCCGATTTCCAGTGGGGAACCGACATCCTGGGACCCCTGGACGCAAGAAAACGAGACAGATGATACATGCTGGTGGTCACAGACTTTTTCACAAAGTGGGCAGAGTAGTCGCTCTCACTGAAACAATGGCTGCAACAGTGGCGAGAAAGATCGTGGAAGTCTTCACTAGGTTCCCTTAGTGCAGCGAACTCCTGACGGACCAAGACGGCAACTTCGAGAGCGAGCTGGTGAAATAACTCCGTGTGTTGCTGGGCGCGACAAAGCTGAGCACGACGCCGTATTACCTGGTGGGCAATATATAGACCGATCAGTTCAACACCGCCGTTTGTGTAATCCTGCGTGCTTGCTACTGTGATGGGTGGGACGAGACACTGTCTTAGGCATTCTCGGCGTACAACAGCCCTATGCATTCGACGGCGGGGTATTCGCCCTACGATCTGATCGTTTGGATTCCAGCCAGAGAGTTTGGCTGTCTATGAGCTGCAGGGATCTGGAGACGAAACCGGTCGTCGTTTCAAGTCTCACGCGATGCTCGCAACTGATGTCAGACGAGATGTACAGAAGAGCACATCTCGGGCCCTCGACACACTGCGGAAAGGAACGTCGGGTCGCCAAGTTTCTTCAACAGGAGATGATATCATGGTTGGATCTCGAGTTCTCATAAACGTCTCAGGAAAAAGAGGAAGCTGGACGAAATGTATCAAGAGCCGCACGACGTTCTGGCAGCTCACCGCCCCGACTATGAGATACAACACGGCGTAAGAAGATACAGGGTCGATAGGCGTCACCTATGGCCTTGGCGGAGATCACCGGATGTTCTCGAGCGGGAAAGCGCATTCGCTGATACTTTGGTTGATAACCCCCTCAAGAGCAGAGCGAATTCGGCCAAGATGACACTGGATGGGACGAAGACGTCGCCGCCGAAGATGAATAAGTGGATGCTGGTAATGAAAGGGCCGACAATGCAAATTAAGAAGCTGACACTCTAGCGTCGGCGAAAGGTTACCCTGGCCCAAATCATGACCTTTTGTCGTTTTTACCTGTGCAGAAATGATTGAGACGTCAGGTGTCAAGCAAACGCCGGTATAGGTTACATCATCGCGATGTTCAATCGCGCGTCCAATTGCGAGTGTGGAGGACGTTCGGGATATCCGCTGCAGCGATTATCGTTTTAGAAGGGAAAGGGGATGTTAAGGGTTTTGTCCTCGCATTACCATATGCTTTCTGCTCGCTGCCATATTAGTCAGCTGTTGGGGCTCTCTCTTCGCCCGGGCGCCGAGGTGGGAGGCTGCGGTGTGTCGTGATGGCGGTAGGTTCGTTGGCTTGAGGATTTAGATGCAACACTGCAAAAAGTTCAAGTGTTTAAGACAACCGTCGTCCTCAACGAACCGGGTACACATAGCCATCGCTTGGCATGTAGGTGCGCAAGGTCGTATTGAGAAAACGGGCCAATCAGAGGAAGAACTATCCAAGAACAGCGTCAAAAGCAGAAGCTCTTGTTCAGAAACTTGCCTCTAGCGATCGGTAGCTCGGCGGTATCTGTGGTAGCTACGTAGGTCTCAGCCTGCAGTCATTAATTAGCATTCGTTCGGTAGCAATAGCTTATCATAGCAATATTTGTGAACAAATCTATTCGTATCCGCTTTGAGTAGCACTCCGGGCCGAACCTCAATAGCGGGAACATCCTCTGTGAGCGCATGCACTGTGCTGTTCGGCAGAGACGGCGTTCTGGGGCCGCTGGGGCACGGTCACCGGCTGGGGCACGACCTCGTACCAGGGCAAGGCCAGCCCGCTGCTGCGCGAGGTCCGGCTGCCGCTCATCTCCAGCGACGCCTGCAGGCGTACCTCCTACGGCTCCATCATCACCCGCAACATGATCTGCGCCGGCCTGGCCGCCGGAGGGCGTGACTCGTGTCAGGTCAGTACCTTCAGCAAGGCCGGCGATACTCGTCAGGTCACAACGGCTCGTACTCAAAGAACAGGAAAAGGGACAGCTCAACAGGTGCCGTATTACCAACCGTGTCCGATGCGATCTTATCTAGCGGCTATTGTTAGGGAAAATGCGTCGATGCCACCGACACATGTCATCGATATATACGTTGATAAATTTTCTTAAATTCATTGCCACCAGTCGCGTTGATCCGCCACATATATCGAAAAAACGTGCATTTGAACATCATTTTATAGTTTAGATCCGGTTGACGATGATGACGATGATAACGGTGATGTCCTCGGAAGCCGCCGGTGGGCGAGTCGGTCATTTGGTTGTCGGTTCTGTAGACTAATGTTCTGATCAATATCAGCCTTATCTAACCGCACGTGAAAACCATTTGGTCTGCCGATAAAGAGCACCGCAATCATTTAAACCATTTACAGCACATAATCTCCAGCCTGCCTCTTGCTCATTTCGCGTGTTTATTGCTCGACTGCTTTGCATTCATCAGACTAGAAGTAGACAATACAGAGCAACTGAAATTCAGAAGTCACTGGTGCGGGAATACGAGATTCAGAACAGGAAAGGTGGTACATGGTTTCCTACAGTTCGGTTCTCTGCAGAGGCACACCGCTCAAGTGTGAATGGTAACACCTGGCCCGTATTGCCCATCAGAAGCGCCAACATCCTGGCTTTGCATAGTCACCCTTAGAATACAGTCACGGCTTCGCGGTTGTGGCTTGGTGTGACGCTGCGGCTTCGTGAGCTCGGCGGCAATAACCTGTGATCACACGACCCTGCTCCAGATTCCCCTACCTGCCGGTAGGATGCCTCCCTGCTCCAGGTTTCTCACTCTACCGGCAGGGTGACTCGGGCGGCCCTCTGGTGGTGCGGCAAGAGCACAGGTGGCGCCTCGTCGGTGTCGTCAGCTTTGGCTTCAAGTGCGCGGCCGCTCAATATCCGGGCGTCTACACCCGGGTACAAAATTACGTCGACTGGATCAACTGGTACATCGACAATGAATAGCAAATCTGACCTCAAGTCTTGAAATGGTGAGCAACAGTGCTGCAAGACCACAGCATGGCCTCCATTGACCATGATGGAATGTCCACCGCAAAAGGCCATTCAAACCACAGGCGATGGGAAAGTTATGGAATTAGTTACGTGTTTTCATATGAGATTCAAAAGTGTGCCATACATTTCCGTACTGTTTTACGCGATAGCCACTTTAGCTGATACATGATAAATAAAGGTGACGTTGTGGTCGCTGTTGGCCAAGCTTCTCTTTAATGGTTTGCAAGACCGCGGTGTAACAAAAGTGTACAACGCGAATGGCATGAGCTGGGTTTAAACACCGTGACTAATTAAAGAGCACGACTGTAAAGGTTTTTACATTACGTAAGGGAATTATTCTGGGGTTTTGATAGACAGATGTCCGGAAACAGAGCCAGGGTTTGTTGCGTGAACCATGAACCACCATTAGGTCGTGAAATTTCGGATCAAGGACGAAATTTTCCGGCAAACATTGAACGCTCCGTCTCGCTCGACACGGTCCGTCCCACCCTCAGACGGCAAACATACACACCCTCGCGTAAAAACGACACGGTCCGTCCCACCCTCAGACGGCAAACATACACATCCTCGCGTAAAAACGACACGGTCCGTCCCACCCTCAGACGGCAAACATACACATCCTGGCATAAAATGTGTTAACGGTTGAAGACATTGCTATGAGGCTTAGCGATTCCAGACATTCTCCGTCAACCAAAGCCTCCTAGCGTGAGGTAGGCCTGTGTGTGCGTGCCAGGTGTCTGTGTCAATGCTGCACCCCAGCGGATCACGTGCCTGGTGCCTGTATCGATACTGACTGCACCGCTGCGAAACACGTGCCAGGTGCCTGTGTCAGTACTGACTGCACGCAACCGAAACACGTGCCAGGTGCTAGTGTCGATACTGGCTGCGCCACAGCGAAACACGTGCCAGGTGCCAGTGTCGATACTGTCTGCACTACACGCCAGAGAAACACGTGTCTGGTGCTTGTGTTAATACTGAAGAAGCAGCAGCCAGTCTGGTATTGGGCCGAGGGATCCAGTAGGAGCCGGGATCCAGTCTCGTATTAAAGGGAAACATCCGGCAAAAATAAGAGCCAGGTTGACAATTGGCCGAAAGGTCCAACAAGAACCAAGATCCAAACTGATACCAAGCCAAGAAAACCAGCAATAAACTATAGCCAGGCTGGCATTATGTTGAAAGATGCAGCAAGAACCAATATTTAGCCTGAAACACATAGAGATAAATTTAAAAAAATCCAATATGCAGCTCAGGATTTAGCAGGATTAAGCTGAGACCCAGCAAGAACCAATTTCCTGTCTGGAGTGATGCCAACGTAACCAGGAAGAACAAAAATCCTACCTGAGCCCCCTGTCAGCAAGAACCAAGGTGTTACTCAGGGGTACAATTTTCAAAGTAGTTTTAGAGGCTGAACAGGGAAAATAGCTAGACCTATTCCCGCTGCTCTGTCTTTTCTGTCTTGTCTTGTGCTGGGAGGGCTGGGATGACCCAACAGTGTAAAACCACACCTCTAGCGTTCCTTGAGGTTTATGCAAATACATGCGACCTGTCTCATAAGTGGTTCATTAACGTACATCGAACCACGTGCATTGCTGGATTATTTCAGAAAGCTTTCCAAGATTTAAGTCGCTTTATGCAACCATATCACAATAAGATCTACAAACATCTGCCTCACTGTAGAGTGGAGCATGAAAAAGGAAACTATGTACCTTTGGCCGTTCCATTTTTATGCTTGCATGTAGTCTTGTGTATAGCTGAGAACTCACTTTTGATACTTGTACCATAATCTTTTCTCCAAGGCTGGTCAGTGCAATATCCGTAAATTTGTAAAATTGCTACCTCACCACAATAACCCAAGATTTGCTCAACTTACTGATTCACGGAAATTGCTGCTCATTTGCATCACGTTGCGCTTCTTCAAACAAATCCTTGCTTACGGGTCACTGTAATGGGAGCTGCTTTCCAAGACAATAAGCCCTCATGAGTACAGGTGACTGCAAGCTTTGATGACTGCATCTTAGCAACCAGACTGGAGAGCAAATGCCATAACGCATAAAATAATTGCGGTGCTTCACCTTATTCGAGCTGATCTATTCCAACCTCCTTTTTTGCAACCGTTTTGGATACTGTAATAGGCATTATAGTCAAGTTACCAAAATGTTGACCCTCAATGTCAACCCGCGCCAGAGTGACCGGTTGGATACTCTTCGACGGGTGGTGGGGGGATTTGACCCGCTGAGATCTCAAGAACTAGGAGAGCTAGAGACACCAAATTCACAGGGTGTATTGACCTGTATATAAACTCACTTAAATCAAAGTTTAAAGTTCCCGGGTGATGACTTTCAAGTAAAATAGGGTCAGACAAGGTCAAATTACAGGCTGGTCTCTAAAGACCCCCTAGAAAGTAGATGACTGGAAACTAGGTCAATACTTAGAGGACACCAATTTCATTTAGCAATAGACAGCAGTAGAACTATAAAAAGACAGACGACATTTGGTCTAAGCGTAGTGAATTACTAGGCATATTGGGTGTATTTAACAGTATGGCAAGATCCTAATGTGATTGATTGGTGCACCATCCATAATAGACGCCCCTTTTATTCCGCAATGACAAGCGCATTGCTTCAGTTGTCAGATAGCCATTTGTGAATATTGGGCAATAATCTTCAGCTAGCATCAAAGCTTTATTAGTTGTAATGGTGGTATCAGGTCGTGCTGATTGTTTTTCTGGCATGTGGTGGTTTATCTTTATGTGGTGAGAGCAGAAATATGCGGGTTATCCTGTGCGATAGGTTCAGCTGTCAGGCGATGACTCCCAAGTTGTGGGCAACTGATCCATAACTAACAGTTAAGTTTTGTTAGTTGCATTGGTGATATCAGCATGTGCTGATTGTTTGACTTGCCTCTGGTGTAATGCTTCAAATAAATGTGAACGGAAAATATGTGCGTTGTCCTGTGTGACTTACATGACTTTGTGGCTGAGGACCATGAGCTATGGCCTTGTACCTATGGAAATTTCGGTGACAACCGGCGTTCAAGTTGCAGCACTTTAAAAAAAATCAAGGAGAGACAGGAACCAGATTCGTGGTCTGCTTAAGGACCAGGGGAAGCCAGGATCATGGGTTTAGTTTTTAGAGGAAACCGCTGGGAACCGGGGTCTAAGGTTTTGTTTTGTCAAGAGAACCAATGAGAACCAGGATTCATTATGTTGGTTTGAAAAAATTCCACAGGAACCAGGATCCAGGGTTTTGTTTTGTCGAAAGAAACAGTGAAAACCAAGATCCAGGATCTCGGGCGAAAGGACCAGCAGGAACCACGATCAAAGGTTTCATTTTGTCAAGAGAACCAGCGGGAACCGGGATCAGCGACCTGATTTTGTCGAGGCAGCCATTGGGATCCAAGAGCAAACTGGGAACCGGGAACACGTCGGACTGAAAGCCGATTATATTCAGCACAAGAACTGCCAGCCCAACATGGGTAGAATGTCCTACTGCACCATTTCGTAGCGCTAAGAACACGATCGGTTTGCAGGCCAGGGACGAGTTGCTGCCCACTTAAACAACGGGGGTGAAACACACGCGCGCAGTTTGGACGCACTTCAAGCCACCTGGCGTTTTACCTGAGGCGGCACCAGGCTCCCTCACTGGCAACCTACCCACGTACCAAGTTTGGCAGTCGCAGCCTATCCCCGTTGGCGGCGAGGGGTGAGCCACTTCAGAGGTTGCAGGCGACCGACGGCACGTCCCGTGACACGCGCCGGGCACTAAACAGCTAATCATGGAGGGCATAAGCGGCCATGCTCTCACCGACGGAGGGATCCGTACGCCCATCCGTTTGATCTGCAACCGTAACAGTTAGATTTTTGCAGAACCAGTGGCACGTTGCATGTCTCTGCGCTACACCTTTACTTACTGTACTTTTATAACCTTCGCATATTCTAACCCTTTACGTAATAAGCTTTGACGACAATTTTACAGCATTTTCGAGAAATTTAACATTTCATAGGCCAATAAAAAATACAGAAGCAACAACATCCATGTGACATTAAATTGCTGAGAACATACGCTGTCATTTTCCGCACAGCGCTCGTGGGAAACAACTTGCTTTCATGTTGGTCATTGGGACTTAACGACGCACTCAGTTTCTGATGCCTTGCAGAGTCGGCTGCATCTCCCCCTCTCTGGAAAGGCGGCCACCGCGGGGAATCGAACGTCTTACTGTTGATTTCTCAGACGCAGACCTCAACCACTTCACTATCGGCACCCCAGAACTCTTTCAAAAGTCCGAGTACATATATATATATATATATATATATGTATATATATATGTATATATATATGTATATATATATATATGTATATATATATATATGTGTGCATATATATATATATATATATATATATATATATATATATATATATATATATATATATATATATATATATATATATATATATGTGTGTGTGTGTGTGTGTGTGTGTGTGTGTGTGTGTGTGTGTGTGTGTGTGTGTGTGTGTGTGTGTGTGTGTGTGTGTAATTTATTCTAATCCTTCCCCCTCTCCATCTCTATTTTTGTCTGCGGGTTTCCCTATGGTTCCATTGACTGGGAGCCTCTGGCTCATTTATCTAGCGAAAAAAGCATACTGCTGTACAGCAACAAACTTGGAATAAGTTTAGAAATGTTGTCTTTGTCATCGAATTTGAAATATATGAAGAACAATTACCGGTCTTTCACTTTAACTACCCTAAATTACAGGGACCGCAAAATGAAACGCATTGAACTTGATGAGCCACATTTGTTTAAGACAACACTAAGGCTCGAGTAGGCAGCGTTTGTGAAAGCGTGGTTTATCGGAGCAGACGAGACGTGCAGTAACTGATTGATCTGTACTAAAAATATAGTCCGGCTCCCCATCCAAGCCCCTTTTGTTTTGGCCTGTCTGCAGTGTTATACACTCGCAAGGTCTGTCGAACTGAATGTATCGGATGGCATCGTATCGCATTGACAATGCGACCACGGAATCGACCGCACGTGAACCATCGGGGTCGTAAAAATCGACGCACAATTTACAAATTTATTTACACGTTGTTCCGAAACTTGATATAACAGATTTGCCGGATGGTACTGACTGATGATGCTGACACTTCTGTGATGTCAAGTTGTCGGGGGAGGGGGGACGACGGACCACGGACGGACGCGGACGACGGGCACGCTGACACACCGACAAACAGACAGATAGGCAGCGGGACGGGCGCCGACCGCGGGGCTCTCGCGCCAGAGCTCCGTCTCGGGACGCTCTCTGCAACGAGAGATGACTAGATCGCACTCAGTCCACCCACCGCCAGTGGGCTGCGGACAGCTGCACGCCACACGCACACGCGCATCGCGCCAGTATACACACATCACAAGTGAAATATACATATGTATGGGTTCGAGCAGACAGAGCTTATAAAAACGTCCTTGGAAGGAGTGCGCGGCGGCGGCCGGCCGGCCGGTGGGCGCCGCACCCAGGCCGATCCGGGCGGCGCCAACGGCCGGCGGGCACGCGCGCCCTGCGTCGGGTCACGTGCCGGAGACTGTACACAGCTGCTGAGTGGTGGCACCGCCAGGTGGCAGGGCGGTGGGGAGGTGGCCTCCCAGTGAAAGATGGGTCGAGATGTTGTTTCGTTTACCTGGAAACACGTGGGGCGAGATCAGGCCGCTGCAGGCGTTAGTAAAGGCGACCAAAGATCTTTGAGGAGGTTTCAAGGATAACAACCATCGACACTGGCCTACTTACACAATGTGAAACATTGGTGAGCACGGGATGTCGACAGGAAACGATCAGATAGCATAACGCAACTCACACAAGTGGTAATTGAGTTAACGTTGCATTTTTGTCTTTACATTTTGCACTTAAGACAAAACTGGCACGTTCGACAATACCCCGCCTTACCGTTGTTGGGACATTTAGTGTAAGCCACAGCATTCAGTTTAAGGAAGGATGGAGATGAAGAACACGGATGGAATACCTGTTTAGATGATTGCCCTCGGCCTGTGCTTTGGTATGCACATCATGGGGAGTGTTAGCGAGCACTTGTGTGCATACCAACACACCAAACAAGGACGATAGACCGACCTGTTATTTTTTCAACCCACAGTAATCAGCTTCGAACGTCTGTAATGACATGAAATAAGGCTGCACTTGCACAAGCTGATTGCACAAACCTTTGTGGTGGCCATGCACTTACGGACTGTGCAATGTGCGGTGTAGTATGTGGAGGTCGGCGCCCTGATGTTGTAAGCTTAAACAACCAATTTTTACCTCGATAAAGTCGACTTTTATAGTGGACAAATTCAATGATATATAAATAAGAGAATTAGTAAGCAGAGGACCAGAATCAAAAGTCAGCGTTTCACTTCGCCCAAAAGTATCGCTAGGAGTATAAAGTGATAACGATGGGTGGATCCAGTACCGGATCTTGAGTGTTTTTTTTAAAGTTTCCAAGATAATGATGATTGCTCGAAAACGGCCAAGCCTGCCAATGGTTTATGTCCTCCTTAATCTCTACCAGAGTCGTTTGGAGCGGCTTGAGGCCTTTGGTTACCCTGGGCACGCCGGTGGCGCGTGGCGTATCTGGCATATGTACAACGCAAAAGGCATGCAAACTGAGAGGTCTTCAGCATTTCGCACCAAACCTATCTACAAGACGCAAGGCGGAGCGTGGCACGCTCCGCGGCCACGCACGCAGCGGAGCCGGCAGACACCGTTTCCGGTTAATGTCGACGCGGCTGGCGCGTCCGCTCAGCCTGTCTGCCGCCGCAGTTGGGCGCTGGCGGCCGTGGCATGCCGGTCGGGCCGAGGGCAAGTTACCTGCGCTGGGCGAGGCGCTGACCGCGGCTAGGGCACACTACGCGGCCGACTCAGGGAAAGGGCCAGCCAGCATTCGCTTGATGAAACCTAGGGAGCAGGCGAGTCAAGCAGACAGGACACCACGAAAGCATTAGGCTAGCCTCGGGAGCTTCCACGGCATGCCGAGTCGCCTCGTCTGTTTAATGTCGTAAACTCAACGAGGCGACAGCAGCTTTCGTGTGTCGTGATAGCCCCCGTGCATGACACTTTCTATTGCCGGACAGAGCTGTTCGCTCGAAGCGCGGCTGCTGGTCATAAAAGGTAGTACAAAATGCGACGGCTTTGAAATATTGCGGGAAGCCTGGACTTCACCACGCATGGACGGGAACTTTGATTCACTCATTGCTACCTTCTGGGGCTTGCCGACTTCCTGGCTTACTTCTTCTCCGGATTGGGACCGGCCAGTAGCCTTTTGACAAAGGCTGAAAAGCAATCACCAGTTTGACTGGGCTGGCCATTTTCCAGCGCAAATGACGGTCGCCCCGCGGGTGCGGCACTAACAACGGGTGGCTTACAGTGCAGTTATCCAACGGACGTGGGGTCAGGCCACACACGGGCGGAGGCGGGGGGAAGGCAATCTATCATACTCTTGTCCGAAGCTCCTCCGACGTACTGAAAACGTCAACTGAGTGCTGAGGCCAGGCTTGTCTGAGGGTGGGGGTGGGGGGGGGGGGGAGGGCAGGAGGTCCTGCGAGAGAGCAATGATAATCACATGGAGAGCGGCTGCTTCGGTGAGTTTCCCGCCACAACTGGGACTCGCTGCCATGCCGGTCGCCATGCCTGCTTGGAAAGGGAATCATCTACCTCTCGTGCGTGAATGTTGAGAACTTGCGAATCTACTTCGCGTCCGGGAAAGGTCCAGCTATCAGCCTTTTGCAGAAGGCTGCAATATAGGCAATGATGCAGCTCTAGTTACCTACACAAGAGCTCTAGTTACCTACACAAGAGCTCTAGTTACCTACACACGATTCACTCACGCCTGGGCCACTACTACGTTGCTCGTCAATGCATCGGCTATGATACACGACATGATACAAACGAACTAGTAAACCTACATATTGACTGAAACTGAGCTTATGCCGAACCAGGTAGTGCTGTGTTCAAGACGCTCGTCACACGTGTGCAGTCAACACTCTCTATGTTTAGAGCCGTTTTTAAACACGGCCTGCTTCTAATATTGCGGAAATGCACAGTGCTCGGTCATCACTACGGTGTCAACGCCATACATCTCACCCACGCTGAGCATCACAGTACGCTAAGGACAGGGTGCGAGTTGTCTACGGTAAACCTGTAGTAGGTTTCCCCTCTTGCGCCAAACACTATCTGCTATCTGCGGGCTATTCACACGACCTACTTCATTCTCGTAACGCACCACTTACGCGTCTTCGATGATATATTTTTTAATGATTTTGCGTGCTCATTGCAGCATTGTGCAAATTTTCTTAAGGAAAGCTGAAATGGGGTCAACAGTGATGCGCGATGTATCGTGAGAGTCTGAACTATAAGACCTACCCGCCGGTTAAAACCATGTAACCTACACGCTGTGACGATCAAAATGGAACTAAAACCGATACGTACGACACTTTCCGCTGATTGCACAGAAAATGTACACTGGGCACCCAGCGCAAACAAAATTCGTTGCCAATAAAAACACAATAAAAAATCATAAAAACGCGAAATGCTCAGCCTTCGATCCAACAACAGATCTTCGACCAAGTCTGATCCATAGCACTATGAGGGGTACCCCAAAACAAAAATACCGTTCCCCGCACCCGCAGACATACAGCTTTAGGTCGTGCATTCGGGAACAAGATCCGGTGTCAACTTACGCTCGTATGGAATAAAGCCATCCTCGTCCTCTTCATCGCAGCACTCGGCCATGATCTGCGTAACTTCCTTATCAGACAGCCGCTCACCTAAGGCAATTCCGGTCATCAGTGGGCATGGTCGTATGACGCGCATGGTAACTAGCACTGAGCTACGTTTGAACATTTAAAAGGTATCTCTGGCATTTGCTGGAAAAATCTACGTTATGTACGAAAGCATACCAGACAAAAGATCTTAGCAGTGCTGAATACGCTCATGTCGAAGTAATAATGTTATCATTTGAAAATGAGGACCCGGTTCCAAGCCGTGACTGCATTTTAAAGTCAAGGATGTGGAGCCGGTGAGACACGCGCGAAATGAATGTTGTTCACAAAGGAACACAGAATGGCAAGGAAATGTAGAACGTCGGCCCGACGTCCAAGCAAGGATCACTACGCCGAACGGAATCTGCATTATTCTACAATAACCGCAATACGGTACCAACGATCGAATCCAGACCAGGCATGTCTGCGCACAGTACGCAGCATGAAATACCCATAACGAATGTCCACAGTGCCTGGTGAAGTGATGAGTAACTCTGCACGACCCTCTCAAAATTATCAGAAACATTCGCCCGTGTAGCATAGTCGCGAATGTTTGAGAAAATGTCTGAACAGATAGGGTTGTCCCGCTACACAACAGGGCATCAGTTTGGACATCCTACATCAGCGTCCAGCCACTGACCGAGGGAGAGCAGGACGTGTGAGAGTTCAGCCGCCATCATGGTGCCGTTCTCGGCCTTGTCGTAGAGTTTCAGGCATTCCATAAAGTCTTCGAAGCCACCCTGGTCCTTGTCCTTCTTGACCTGCGAGAAGATCGGCAGGAACTCGTCCAGCTTCAGCTTCTTCTGCTCTGTAAGGAGCAGATGGGGACTATGTTACAGACCAGCTGAGAACGCACAATGCGACAGCGGTAAGCGGCAGATTGTGACTTCGCTACAGACCAGCTGAGCGCGACCAATCAGCATGTTACGTGTGACGGGAAATGGTGATGAACGACATTTGTTCAGGATTGCATACCACAACGCAATAATATTTGTTATTGTGAGTTCAGAGTTCTTATGCTGGCAGTTATTGGCTTTCAATACACCAGAAGAACTGGTTGAACGACGCTATCAAAGGAAAAAACTGTAGCTGTATAGTCAATACTCGACGTTTCAAGTTGTTCTCGTGGTTACGAGTGAGGGTATGAAGATTGATGACTAACAGCATGAGAACTCTGAGCTCCTAATGCCGGAAACCAGGACATTAATACATTCCTTTCCTATATCGAATATTCGTAGGACACATCGCTCACATGGAGTCCATTACCCTCTTCCATACTATGACGTGACACAGTCTACAAGAAGGGGCCAATGCTTTCTGCGAGCTATGCTGTCAGTCAGTGGGAGTGACTCCAGCCGGCTGTGTATCTGCTTACTCTTGATCTTCTGCCCGCCGAGCTTCTCGATCATCTCCAGGGTGGGGTTGAGGTTGAGCGCGCGGAGCACGTCGCCCAAGTAGTAGGCGTCAACCTCCTCCTTGCCTTCGAAGTCGTAGATGGAGAAGGCAAACTGAGCCCCTGCGAATGTAACGTTGGTGTTGAGCAGGTATGCGGGTGTGTGCATGTGACGAACGTCTCGAAGACATGTGTAGGAAGGTGGCAACGTTAGCATGTTTTTTTTCTGAGGCGTATGCAGCATACACATTTGCTTCATGCTGTTTACTGGTGTGCTTATGCAGCATTTCACCCCTCTATGGAATAGAAAAGCAGGTAAGGCACGCAGAGGTGTTTGCACCTTCGCCAGGCATTACATCTGGCTAGTGCATCTCAAAGCACAAGCCGAAGCTGTCAGGGTCGGTCAACTAGTGTTGACGCCTGCAGCACGCGTAGGACGTTACGCACATGCGCAGTTGACGCCGTTGCTTTATGTACAATTTAACAACTTGTGCAATTTTCACTATTTCGGGGAAAAAATTATCTTGAGACCTACTTCAACATCGTGTTGACCTCCGATGGGGTCCATAATATTTATAAAATGGCACGAAACTTATCAAGTTGGAGCTGTTCGCGAAGGATGGTGAGCATGTTCTGTCTCAGACTGAGTAAATAATTGTCTGGGTACAGGCTGGCTACCAATCATCAATCATTCGTCTGAATGATTGATGATTGGTAGCCAGCCAGTATCCAGATGATTATTTACTCGATCTAAGTAAACTGACTGAATGTTTGTTGTCAAAGGTTTGATTCTGAACTTTTTTTAAAAATTGGCAAGTTTGCTTCTTTATTTATTCACCACCTGCAAGTTCTTTTGATCGTACATCGGTATTCCATGTCAGCCCGCGGATGGCAGACCACGAGCCAGCTCGGCCGGCGCGAGAGTATACTGTCCCGCATGGCACGTGGTCTTTGCGGAACATAGCCTGTCTGGAAGCATACCGCTGAGCGCAAAAGTTCAGCCATGGAAGTGCCTATCGTCTTTAGCATTCACGTGAGATTCGATATGAATTCAATGGTTTGAAATACGTTTACAAAACATAATGCGACGCTCTCTTACTAATTCGAAACGCACTTTGTAGTTAAAACAAAAGTCGCTAAAAACGAAGATCTGACCCCGCCTCAAGCAAATGCTCCCATCGTGCCTTTCCACCAACCACACGGACACGTTGTTTTTGAGCTTGCAAGCCGCGGATCCCGTGGGTAGCTCAGCATCGCTTCGGTAAAACCGGCCGGGCCGTTTTCAGAGCGGACTCGGATTACGCGCCAAGAACAACATCGGGCGATCCCGGCCAGACCCCGCCGCTCCGGCAGGGTTTTCGGATTTGTCAGTGGTTCAACGACACAGCACTTAAAGAGTCTGTGTTCTCATCGGCATCAAACGCTAGTTGCATTGTTGCATCCATCCCAGTGGGGGAGTCATAAAAAAACAAAATAATGGCATATCATAGGCTCACCCAAAATTTTGAGCATGTGCTTAGCCTAATCTGATCGCCATAATTATTTTCCATGGCCCGTTGTCCCACTGTTCAAGGAGTCGTATAATTTTGAGACACAAAAAAGTGAAGAAGTCGCGTCCCAGAACCTTTCGATGACCATTGGGGAGGAAATTTACGGTTTTGAGAACATTCTTCTTACACAGCGCGTGTAGGCCACAACGTCTGAGACGTGGGAAATATAGATAGACATAGAAGACATGGCACGCTAACTGACCAGTCACATTTCACAGAAGCTGCGTATTGTGATGCGTTTGAGAAGAGCTATTCTCAGCATCTGTGACACATGGTTCTGCCGCCTAGTATCTGCCTTGGACGGGGCGTCTGCCGTCAGGCTGCGCGCCGTCGCCGCCCGGGACGCTGCTGTCGCCTGGCAGCCGGCCACTCGGCATAGTTTCGGCAAGGTTCCTGGGCCAGATTTAGCGCAAACACCTGCCACGGGCGGCCGCGACGTCCGGGCGGCGGAGCCGACCCCGCGGCGGCTCACCAGGCTGGCCCGCTGCCAGCCAGGTACAGTCATCCCGGGCAGAGGTGGCCCATGTCTCTCCTCGTCCCGCTAGGGCCGGGAGAAATTTGGGAGCGGTGGGTGGTGGCTGCTCTTTACTGAGCGCGTAGCTCTTTGATGCTGGTCATCATGATGACGAATTTGCTGTGGTACATCATTAACTGCGTTCGAATGAGGCGGATAGAAGTGCAGGCATAGATACTATCTATGCATTAGCAAGAAACAGATCGTCAAGAAAATAGCTAACATTTTTGCTGTAACTATGATACTGTACTTCAGTCCAATGTGTACAACATCAAAACAATGACACGTAAGGGTACGCGTCGACATCACATGATCTAACAATCTTCAAATTATGAATTCACGTTTAATTTAATCATCTCTCAATCAATAATCTGATTTAATGATGGTGCCGACATCTTAAGTACATGGTCATCACCTGTCACTGTGCATGCTCCATTCAGGCCTCAGGACGGATGAAACAATTACACGTGAAATACCGAGGCCGAGGCATTCGCAAACGCCTCGTCTCACATACACCCTTGCAAAACGTGGCTAGTAGTGCGACAAATGACTGGGGCACCGTCAGCGCATGTTGTCGCACATAAGCGGGGGAAGAATGGAGCCAAGGTACTCACTCTCAACATCCCTGGCAGCGAGGTCGGCCTGCGGGAAGAGGCCGACTGTCAGCGGACAGTGGGGCCCAACTCGTCCAGTCATATGTCACGGCGCCAACAGTCAGGCGGGAGTGCCGTACAGGTCCGTCCACGATATACGGGTATGCAGCCGCGCAGACACGTAGCTACCCATGTCGTAACTGCCCCCAATGGGTAGAAGACGGCTGGTGAATACAGAACGGCTGTGATGATCCATTTCCTCGCTCATCTAGATTTCAACGACACAGCTCGAAGTCTCCAAACGGGAGATAATCCCGCCCAGTCATTGGTCTGTCTCTGTTATGAGCACATTATGCAGAGCCGAGTACAACTTGAGGAGGACGCGTTCCTTCAGTCAGTCTCCTTCAAACATCTCCTCGGTCCAACTCTGCCTATCATAATCATACAACTTCAAGCTTAAACACCCGCAGATCTCCTGGCCACCAAGTAGCCAAGGCTAAGCCAAGCTTAGGAATAGCCAAGCTTCGTCCGCACCGCAGAGATAGGCCCCAACGCCCGACTCGTCAAAGTCGGGGGGCCAGCCCTTACCATGGTGTTGTTGGTGCGGTGGGATGTTGCGCTGTGCACCCCTCGCTGACTAGACCCGAAGTGAACCCGCACTGCCGCCGCGCAGCCGCTGCTCCCAATTTTGGCGCGCAGATGGCGCCTCGCTCGCCGGCTAAAAATACGCCGACGGATTCTTGTTGGCCGCCCGCAGTCGTGGGGACCCTGTCCGGTCACACGATACAGAACTGCTAAAGCTGGGTGGACGGCACTGCGCCGGCCCTCAAACGGTCACTGGCGCAGCCCGGCGCCGCTGGCGAGTCAGCTGACCCCGGGCTGCACCTCGGGGATCCTCCGGGACTGAGGAGACACCCCGCGGAGGTGCTGTACTGAGGCTGGTCTGACCCACGCCACCCAGTGCGGAACATCATCAGGTGTTCGCTGCGGGTGCTGCTGGAAGCCGGTACAACGGAATCGTAGTGGCATTTGGACGACGGCGACGAGTCACGGATTCCGGGTCTGAAGAAGCATGTCGGAGTTTCGAAAGTGAACATATCGGATGTTTGAAAGGTACATTATAATCGGGTACTAAACGCTATCCATTTAGCCATTGAGCTGGAATGAAACCACAACACAACGCATAACACACGAAGACGACTAATGAAAAAACACGGGCTCGGAGAAGACATCCTCAGATCTTAGATCGTGTTGCAGTCCATTGCAGCCGCGTTTTTAGTGGACCACTCCAAGGTCAAGATGGGGTGAGACGTATATGTTGCTGTTGGCTGGTCGACCGTCACCATTCATCGCGCTGACTCAGTCTGGCTACGGCGTGCCTTCCTGATTGATTTAGATCCCCTTAGATAAACAGAATGTGATCCGTCAGTGCCATCGTGTCCGCTTTTCCGAGCTTTCCATCGCTCACCAACCGGGCTGATTGCATTGCGGAGGCATCGGGAATCCGCTAACGTACTCGTGACTTTGTTTCATTTCTAACGGCCTTCGACAACAGCGACCAACTGCGACAATCTACTTGCGCATGAATCGCACGCGGCTGTATTATTCAGCTTCTCCTGATATTCACGTAACTGGTGCTATCTCACGTCCAACAGATCCTTTTTTGCCACGGCACCGCCAGCCGGGAGGCCTGCTGTGGTATGCCTTTTGCACGCATACCGGCTTTTGCACGCATATCGGCTAACCAGATCGAAGCTTTATATGAGGGTTTATGTTCTGGACGTTTCGAAATTACATATCCAACATATCCCCGGTTTGTAAGACTGGGCCCTCAGCACGCGAAGTGGTATGAGACGCGTCGAATTGTATATGTCAGGTCGTCAGCACCATAAATTAAAATGAGGCTTACTGATGTAAAAGAAGAATAACTCCTCGGTCGGAACGCTTACCAGCGTCATTATTACACGTTTGTTGAACCGCCCTACTGCTAGTGGTGCCTTTTATCATGCTTTAAAAAAGCAATGTACCGCTAAGACTTCAGCAGGTCCTATGTTGGAAAGCACGGTAATGATACGGTCGCCGGAGCAACAGCTGCAACTATTTTTTTAGGTGTTCGTAATGCCGTGAATGCACGGCACTTTTTGGTCACCATAATTAGTTTTGCGCTTATATAGATTGTCGTCAATAAGTAACTGATATGTGATTTGACATACGTCTTGAAAGTACTTACAAATTAAAATGAAACTGCTTTGCACTATTCGTCCGAAGTTGGAAGGTATAAGTCATCATTGAAGTGCCATAGAAGAGCTTGGAAAAACTGTCTTAATGAGCTCTCGATTGTGACAAAATCATGACGAATCCGTTGAGTTCATTACAAAGGTGTTTCGTGATACACCCCAAAGGTGGCGATGTCCATTTAAATTCTACACTGTATACAGTAAAGCAATGCATGGATTGAATTCTCAGGATTCGGTCCAGTCCAGTCCGACGAGTTCAGCCAGATAGGCCGGTGACAAATCTGGGGCGACAGGCCAACAAGCAGTCTGATACGGCAGGCCAACAGTCAGCCTGAGGCGGCAGGCCAACGGCCAGTCTGAGACGGCAAGCAAACAGTCAGCCTGATACGGCACGCCAACAGTCAGCCTGATACGGCAGGCCGACAGTCAGCCTGATACGGCAGGCCGACAGTCAGCCTGAGACGGCAGGCCGACAGTCAGCCTGAGAAGGCAGGCCAACAGTCAGCTTGAGACGACAGGCTACCAGTCAGCCTGAGACGGCAGGCCAGCGGCCAGTCCGAGACGGCAAGCAAACAGTCAGCCTGATACGACGCGCCAACAGTCAGCCTGATACGGCAGGCCGACAGTCAGCCTGAGACGGCAGGCCAACGGCCAGTCTAAGACGTGAGTCTAACGACCAGTCCAGGGCGGTAACCTGAAAATCTAGTCTGAACTGGAGGGCCAGCGGTCAGCCTGAATCGGCATAAGGCAGAAGGCTGGCTGTCGGCCCGTGGCCTCAGGCTGACAGTCGGCCTAGACACCAGACTGGTGGTCGGCCAGCCCGGTCGCCCGTTGGCTACGGCTCCTGGCACTTTGTCGAGTCCCCTCGGCCAATGCGCGGCCCGGTCGTGGTGTCATGACAACGCTAAAAAGAACCCTCCCCCAATCGCACAGCATTCATGTCGGCCCCGCCCAATTCCTGGCATGCCATCCCCACGCCCTGCCTCCGTTGCTGGCCGACCTTCGGGGAGAACTCACGGCAGCATGGGGAATACAATCGTCCATTTCAGCGCCAACATCAGCTTGCTTTTAGTTCACATTGCGTTGTTGCGAGGAAAATAATGGTTCATCAAGCACCTTGTGATAAATCAGGTTAAAAGGAATGTTTGACATTTGAAGGTATCGAAACAAGTACCAGACACGATGAAATATGCTCACTTTTAACTATTGCTATGCTTTTAAGTTGAAAGGGTTGCTCTAGACCACACAGTTTTTGTTTACCAAATATCCTCGTCAGTACATCATTCTTTGATTACGCCATCGCGTCATCACAACACTGATTGCGAGCAAATTGACGTTCGTTACATCTGGAAATCGTGGTCACGAAAGCCAGATGTGAACGACACAACAATCATATTTTTTTTTACCTTGATCGCCGCGTGATCAATGGAATAACAGAATTGAATGACGCTTTAATGACTCCATGGATGCCAGGATGATAATGACATAGTCTCCCGAAAAAATATGCACATCTTCGTGGGCGTGTAGCTCAGAGACTAGAAAGTTATTTCTTAAGAAAGCCAAGACTGCGAATTGCACCGAGTGATCTTCAAGATGGCTATTTCAGTTCAAAACCCCATACAAATGCGGAACACTTCTTTTAGAGTTAGCACGCGCCTGGGTGGCCGACTAAATACCCTTCGCTCGGGTGGGAGTGGGGGAGGGTCAATTTGACCCCGCTGAGATCTAAAAAATTAAGAAAGCTAGAGATACCATATTTATGAGATGTGTTGACATATACGTGAACTCACTTAGGTCAAAGTTTCAGGTTCCTAGCTCATAACCATCGGGTCAAAAAAGGTCAAACAAGGTCAAGTTCCAGGTTGGTCTCCAAAGTTCCCCAGAACCTAGATAGACATTTTTAAGCAAAAGTATCATTCCCATTCAAGGTCAGTGACCTTGTTTGACCTTTTAAAAGTCAAACAAGATCTGTAAGCAAAAGGTTGCATGATCATTCAAGGTCAGTGACCTTTTTGACCTTTCGAAGGTCAAGGTGACCAAAATCATGCAACATTGCTTTTGAGTTTTGCATTTGACTAAGCGACAAAGATCACGCTAGGCAGTATGTTCCTAAAACAAAATGTTGACCTGGGTCATTTTAGGTCAATGACCTATTCTGGCCTCTAAGAAGTTCATGAAAGCTGTATAATGCGGTTCCTGCAATACAAAAATTCGAAATGAGCACCAGAAACTATCCCATACAGCAAGCCCTAGAGTAACAAAAGAGGTTGGTTTTAACCTTGTTTTGACCTTCATACCTGACCTTAGGTCAATGTAGTTTACTCATTCAACTGCTATGTTGTCTAAGAAAGCATGTCAGAGATGTATGGCTTCGTCTAGCACTCCGTTGCTGGATCAGATTGAACGATTCGCTAGAAATTGCTTTCGCTGAAACCATGTCCTGGCTTTGACCTGCCATAGGTCAGCGACCTTACAAGGTAAATATAAATTGTTGATACCAAACAATCCGCTATGCAATTGTCTACATCTATGCAAAATTTGGCGCGGCTACGCTGCACCGCTCGGAAACCGTTCTTGAAACGCCTTCGGGGGTCAATTTGGCCCCCCAACCGAGCGCGTGTTAAAACAGCACAACTTTCCAGGATTGCTCGTTTCAACTGTGGGAATTGCAACTGGCAGCTGGAAAATGATCAGCTTCCAGAAGGGCTACCCCCGGAACTGGCCGAAAAGTAGCTGGACGTTTGTTGAGATTTGTCAAAGCAAAGATAAATGCTTCAAAATAAGTTGCACTGTCCGAAGAATAGGAAACACAGGGGCTTTTGACCACATCCACGCTTGAACGATGAAGGACGAAATGCCTATTATTGCATGCAAAGGGATGGATAATTCATATATATATATTAACCCTCGCCCTTATAGGGCGTGAATGCAGCCCAAATGCTTTTTAGGACACCGCTCCAACATTTCATACAAGCGCGCCCAGACTTTCAGTAGCCCGTAACACGTTCCATGCGCGTGCTTTGAGAGCAAAAAGGTGTTCCTAGTTTCATTGGTGTCAACATAGCGGCGGTCTTTGAGGAACACTGCACGGCGATCTGCGGCCTGAGCGGGGCAGGCGGGCAGCAACTGACAATGCCGGGAGTACGCGCGGCGGGCCGACATTGTGACATAAACGGAGCCATATATCATAAATGCATGCTCGAAACACATAATGACATACACCAATGTACTCAAAATTGCGCAAGGAATGCGCCTGGTTAATTGTCGTATCGCTACAAGGCATGATATTGTAGGCACGGCGCTGTAAAGCTGAAAGAGTACAGTTTTCTGGAAAATTCGGCCTATGACCTGCCATATTGGGATCAATATTGAACTCACAGCATACAATCTAGTACCAATCACAATATCTTACTGATACCAATCCGCTGGTACTTTCTTCCAAGCTATATCTTTGTTAGTGTGGAAGCACCAGTGGGGTCGCATCATCCCCCCCTCTCCCCCCTCCCCTCTCCCTTTTCGTCCCCGTTATGGAAAACGG